GTCCAAATTGGATATTGATCAGAGCACATAATTAAATGGCAAAATATTTTAGTTGGTTCATATTAAATAAGGCCAACGAAAGCTGTTGCCTAGTTGGAGCTGAAATTAAATATGAAAAATTACATAAGTATCATAAAATTTGATATATTTATACATAATAATTTGGTGCTAATTTATGCATGAAAAAGAGAAAGTTTATTTCTAAAAATAAATTATAGAATTTATGTAATAATAAAATACAAAGGTTTTATTTGAGACATTTATTTATTATTTGTTTTTTTTTCAATTCTTGTTTCTATATTTATATTTTATAAACTTTAAAATTTATCCATATTATTACTTGTTTGATGAAAAAATAAAGTATATATAAATTTATTTTTTTCTTAATATTTAATTTCAACAAATTACTTAAATAAACTAAATTAAACATTTTATTTTTTTTTTAAAGTTAAGTTCTTAAATAACTATTTTTTAAACTTTTGCCTTCACGAGAAAAGAGGTACCTTACATGTATAAATGACGTGGCATAACCGCCATGTTGATCGGGATTTTGACGATTTTACATTTTTTTTTATTAAACGTTTAAATAAGTTTTTTATTTTAATTTTTGCCTAATAATAATAATAACAGAAATAATAAAATAATAATAATAATAATAATAGGAATAATAATAAAAAATTTTATATTAATATCAATTTCAAATAAAAAACATAAACTAAAAATAAAAATTAAACTTACAAATAATAATAAAAAATAAACCGAAAATAAAGAAAATTAAAAATAATAAAATAAATTATTAAGATTATTATTTAAAAAAATATAAACTGAAAATAATAATAAAACTTAATAATAATAAATTTATAGTATTTCTATTATTGGTGAAATGCCGAAAATTGAAATTAAATTTAAAAATAATAAATTTATAGTATTATTATTATTATTATTAGAAGAGTTTGCATCAAAACCGCCAGCACAAATTTTAAAGGGATCGAACGGATGAAAATGACGATCGGAAAGTCAAAGTTCTGAATCAAAGAGTACAATCTGAATAGAACCATCTGACGACTGATCACTTGGTTGAGTCAACCGACACACGAAGTCGACGGATCTAGTCAATGGACCTTGCTTACGATCTCAACTGGATGAATTTCTCGTTGGGTCAGCCAGTCAAAATTAATCGACTAACCATTTTCCCTTGATGGGGAGCGACCTTCATGCGCCTTGGTTGACCAAACTCAACACATCTACTAATTCATAGACGTTGCACTCTACTTAAAATGTAACTTGAATATGATATTAAATTAGCACATTAATTGTATTTAGGGAGTTGGCATAATTGTTCCCTCCTTTTCAAAATTGTATTAGAAGACCCCTATAAATGGGAGGTCAAAAGATGAATAAAAGTGTTTACCTCGAATTCTCTACTCCTACCCTCTCTCCCTCTCCTTCTCTCGGCTCCAACTCTCTAGGAGTGTACTTTTAAAAGACAATTTAAGATTCAAAATCCTAAAAGGCGGTGCGGTAAATATGAACATGCCCAAATGAGAAGCAGAGCAAATTACGAAGGAGAAACCTCACAGAGAGACATAACACCCATGAAATTCAAAAGAGAGACAGTGCATCGAGACTTTCAGGAAGAGGTTCAGACATTGCAAGTGCGGATGATGGACCAGTTTGAGCCCCTCTGGGTGGCCATAACTCAAAAGAGTGTTCAAATGCTACTTCTAGAGTGAGATTCTCGAGAAACTCGCTCCAAAAGAATCCTCTTGAGAACCCACAAGCGCCCAACAGTAGGCTTGCAACCGACCGACCGAAGGGCAAGGAGACTCTTGCACGCTGACAGTGTGAGATTGATCCCAAAAAATATAGTTGTGTAAAATTTATATAAGTTTGACTCCACTATGTAACGGCGCCAATAGCTTGATGCAATATTTATGATTAAGAAATTTAAGCAATTAATATTGGGATTCAACTTAAGTATACGTATCGTTATCAAGTAATAAAGGACTTTCTATTTAAGCCCCGATGATAGAAATGGTTTTAATATGTATTGTGACAAATAGGAGCAGCTTTAATCTTCTACTCTGATACAGTGTTGTAGAAAATCATTGGCTAATCCCAGGTTTAGTCCCTAAATCTGTGGTTAGGCTAGGAGGATACTGGCTCCCACTCCAGAGCTCCCACTTCCCTTCACCTGAATGCTAACTCTCGCTTTATTTTTTAAACACTAAGTCCAAATTGGAGATTTTAGTCTGTCACCCTAAAATCTCCAATTCTACACTCAATAATTTATATTTTCATATTTATTTGCACTTAATTCCATGAACAAAATACTCCTTCATGGAATCAAATGTGATCCTCACTCTATTGTAAAACGAAATACTCCTTCATGGAATCAAATGTGATCCTCATTCTATCGTAGAACTCATACTCCATTTTCTCGGATCATATGTTTCACAACACATTTTAACAATTCAATTGGAATTCAATTGCAATTGGACAGATCAAAAAGTAAATTAAGTTTGGAGTTGAAAAATCATCACTATTTATTTTATATTTTAGTATTAGCAAATTCATATTATCTCTTCATTTCACCATATCTCAGGGACGGGAGAAAGATAACGGAAACTACTCAGACTTCTTGAGAAAGATACAACAAAACCCAAACTTCATATTTTAATAAAAGTTCATACAACACTAATAAATAAAAAACACTTATGTGAAACTCTTTCTGAAAGAAAATCCATTGTAGCCTCTCCTAGAAAATGTAGGAAGAAGAAATCTCTCACTTTTCTCCTTCTTCAACACTCTCAGAGAAGAATTCACACTTAATATCACCACAAAAACTCTAAACTCTTAAAGAAAGATCACTAATAGACTCTTGAATGGTGGTGGAATGAAGATGGAAAAAGTGTATGGAGGCGAGGTGTGGCGAAAAAGAGCAAGGAGGAATGAGGAGGAGCCCCTTTTCTGATTAATTTCAGCTTCAAATAGAGCCTAGAGTCGATTCTCCAATAGGTGCATCCAAAAACTCTTCAAAAAGCGTCCAAATTTTTTGAATCTTCTAGAAACAAGGTCTCATCCGACATTGGCGCCGTCGGCGCCCATTCTGGCACCAACGGCGCCAGTGGTACATAATTTAAATCGCTGCTCTCTGTCAAACAACGTCGTCAGCGTTGAGTAAAATTCACCATTTGTTCTGTAAGCCTGCACCGTCGGCGCTGCTCCTAGCGCCGTCGACGCTGAGTATTTCTTTAAAAATATCATTTTGATTCCAAATTTCATCCTTTTTGCTTTCTTTTTGCTTCAAGTCTTAAAAATAAACAACCTGCAAGAAAACATAAAAATATCTTTCATTAAAGTGCAATATCACCAAAAATGAGTATAAAATATGTGTCTAAAAATGCATATATTATTTGTGTATCAAAATCCCCCAAACTCACATGTTACCTGTCCTTAAGTAACTCCTCTACTAAATAAAAATATGACTTATGGTAAAGAATTTAACTTTTAGATTTTCATATTTTAGTCTACAAAACATAACAACATAACTAAATAAAAATTCAAAATAACTCTAATTAATACTAAAGGTATATGAATATTCAACAATCAAGTCCAAGATTTCTAATTCTCTATTATTTTCAAGAAAAAATTCAAATTATAATATTAAAGTCACTTAGAGTATCTATATGAAAATTTACTTCATAGAACTTTACTAGTAAATAAGCTAATACTTAAATAAAAGTTTAGAAAATGTATTCAAGTCTTCTTCCTTAAGTTGATTCAAGTGAAGCAAATTTTTAATTAGGCATCTCCTCAAGCTTCTCCCCATATCTCTACTTTTTTTTCCTCACTTTTTTTTTCTTTTCAAGATCATTTTCAATCCTTTTTCTTTTCTTTTCTTTTTCTTTGTGGGGATTACTATATCTGGATAACCTTTAATGATTTTGAACTTCACTATCCTCCGCTTAAATTTAAAAACTTTTCACATTCCTTCACTTAACAAATTTATATTAGCTTAAAGATTTCATAAAATTTAATTCTTTTCTTTTTACATGAATATCTAAGATTTTAAATACTTCGAAAATACAAATTTCTTTACTTAAAATAGAAAAACACAGTCTTATCCTCTCATACCAAATATCTTAATATCTAAAATTAACCTTAACTATTAAAATTTTACTTAAATTTATTATATATTTAGAAATATAAATATAATTATCTAAAATTAACCTCTAATACCAAATTTCATGTTAAATTTAAAAATTTTGAAAATATAGCTAAGTGAGGACAAATAAAATCAATTTTCTTTCTTTAAAAAGAAATTTTTCTTTCCCCCCAAACTTGAA